ATATGTTTCTGTTTTCATTCTGCTTTTACCAGCATTTTCATTTAACTAGCGATCGGTGTGATTTTGTGTAAATGAGCTCACATGTATGCGTTTATTTGATTTATAATCGTATATATTGGCTGAAAGTGTCGGGTTAGTTACTTAAATTCATCACTAATTACATCGTTGAAATTACATTTGTATAACTTTTGTAATTGCGTTGTCTAAAAAGTAATTCAATTATTTGGAAAAATAAATGGAGATACATCTAATAATGATTGAATAAAATAATTAAATAATGATTTAATAAAATAATCTAATGATGATTTGATCATTTAATTTAATAAATATTTAATAAAATAATTTAATAATGATTTAATTAAATAATTATTGAATAAAATAATCTAATAATGATTTAATAATTTAATCTAATAAGAATTTAATAAAGTAATTTAATAATGATTTAATAAAATTATTTATTTTATTGTTATTAATATGATTTAATAGTTAAATCTTAAATCATTTAATAACCAAATCTAATAAGTGTTTAATAAATGTAATAATTATTCACCGATTTAATTAAATAATGATTTAATAAAATAATCTAATGATGATTTAATAATTTAATCTAAGTATTTAATAAAGTAATTTAATAATGATTTAATTAAATAATGATTTAATAAAGTAATTTAATGATTTAATAAAATGATTTATTTAATTATTAATAATATGATTTAATAATTAAATCTAAAAATAATTTTATAACCTAATTTAATAAGTATTTAATCAATTTAATAATTATTTAATGATTTGATTAAATATTGATTTAATAAAATAATAAAATGATGATTTAATAATTGAATCTAATAAGTATTTAATAAAGTAAGTTAATAATGATTTAATAATTTTTTTATTATTATTAATATGATTTAATAATTAAATCTAAAATAATTTAATAACCTAAGCTAATAAGTATTTAATAAATGTAATTATGATTTAATAATTGAATTTTATAATGATTTAATAAATTAATCTAATAAAGATTTTTTTTTAAAAAATCGAATAATGATTTAATAGTCGAATCTAATAAGTATTAAATAAAGGAATTTAATGATGATTCATTAGTTGAAACTAATTATGATTTAATAAAATAATCTAATAAATATTGAATAAAATAATCTAATAATGACTTAATAATTCAATCTAATAAATATTTAATTAAAATAATTTTATATTAATTTTATAATAATTATAAATCTATATTGCACATAGAATGGAAATTAAACTTTTAGATTTATTAAAAGTATGGATTTATTTATTTATTTAATATGTGTCACACATTATATGTATTTTATGTATAACATATAATATTATAAACACTAACTTCAAAGTAATGAGACTATATTTAATATGTAAACAAAAAGTTTTATGTTATGTTAAACTATTATAATAAGCAACTTAAGTTTCAACTCAACTTTTTAGGTTATACACTGACACAATAGTTGCGATAATTAATGCCTATGGAGAAATTACATGATTAAAATTGTATATTAAACGCTTTTTTAATTTCTTATTTAGATTCTTCTTTTAATTAGTTGACTCAATACTCAGTACAATGTAAATAAAACTCTGTTCATTTTGAAATCTGAGACAAACAGGGCCTTTTAGGTTTATTAAAAGTATTGATTTAGTATCAAAACACTATGAATGACATGGCTAATGATACAGCAAGAAGTCACAACAACAAATGCTTTTAGTTGCTTTAAATTACTTCAATAAGCAAATCAAAGTTTTACAAAGTTACCATAGCTTCCTGCTGGCAGGTGGGACGAGACTGTGATTTTCCTGGTCCTGTCCAGAAGGGGCAGTGATGACGGTGACGTACTCGCGGCGGGTGGCAGATGCGCGTCTGGGCACCTTTTATCGCCTTCTTCTGCGATGGAAAGGAAGCATTTATAAGCTGCTGTATCGCGAGCTGCTGATCTTCACTGTGATGTACTGCATTATCAGCATCACATACAGGTAAAGGCATCATAGTTTTAACTCTCTTTGTCTTTGCCATGTTAACAGCACGTAATATTTGACTAGATATTTTTCAAGATACTAGTATTCAGCTTGAAGTGACATTTAAAGTGGTGGTCCTCTACGATATCATATTTTAAACTTTAGTTGATGTGTTATGTAGATGTGTGACAAACAAAATCTCTGAATGTAAGATGCTCAAAGATCAATGCAAATGGAGACATTGGCTTTTGCAGAGTTAGCTTAGCACAGCCTACAGCGAACGAAGTTTGGGGAATACAAAAAAATACATCTCGGGTAATGATGTCATAAACCCTTCAGGTTACGCACGTACACCCTGGACAGTGAAGGGGCGTGGCCAGAGGCGCTGTCATGTTATAACAGAGAGGCTTCCTGGTGATGTGGAGCTGATCTGCGAATCACAGCACATTATGTTAGCTGACAAATCAGAGCCTCTTGAGGGTGGGTCTTCAGAGAAACTAGGAAATATAACAGTGGTTTTCATGTTATCTGAGCTGTATATAATCAGAGTAAGATATATGAGAAAATAACCTGATTTTCTACAAATGAAGCATGAGCACATCTTATAAAAATTGCATCTTATAAACACAACCAAGCCTTAAAAATACACTCTGGATCACCTCTTTAAAGGCTTAACTAGGTTAATTAGGCAAGTTATTGCTTTTAAATAAATAAAAACTATATATATAATAGAATTATTAGCGCCCCTGTTTATTTTTTCCCCAATTTCTGTTTAATGGAGGGAAGATTGTTTCAGCACATTTCTAATAATAATAGTTTTAAAAACTTATTTCTAATAACTGATTTGTTTTATCTTTGCCATGATGACAGTAAATAATATTTTACTTGATATTCTTCAAGACACTTCTATACAGCTTAAAGTGACATTTAAAGGCTTAACTTGGTTAATAAGGTAACTAGGCAGGTTAGGGTAATTAGACAAGTTATTCTATAACGATGGTTTGTTCTGTAGACTATCGAAAAAAAATGTGCTTAAAGGGGCTAATAATTTTGTCCCAAAAATAGTTTTTAAAAAATTCTAAACTGCTTTTTTTCTAGCCAAAATAAAACAAATAAGACTTCTTCTAGAAGAAAAAATATTATCAGACATACTGTGAAAATTTCCTTGCTCTGTTAAGCATAATTTAGGAAATATTTAAAAAAGAAAAAAAATCAAAAGGGGGCTAATAATTCTGACTACTGTATCTTTATTTTGATTTGACAATTTGCCTGTTCATCTCTGTAAGGCGATTTTGACAGTCTGTACACAGGCTTCACAGTTTACAACCAACTATTACCACAGGTTAGAATATTTATGTGATAAAATTCATTTCCAAAGTATTAAGCATTTAATTTAAACACTAATTACTCTAATGTTATCCTCAAGAGAAAGCAAAGTATTCAAAATGCCATAAGTAGGTCAGCCAGACACTTCTTGTCTGGTGTTTTTCAAATACTTTTCAGCCCACATACTATACAGTAGGGAAGCATGCAATTCAAGACAAACCACTTGAGAACTACCTAGCTTCAGAGTTCAGTTCCAGCCCTGTCAGTTATTATGAAAAGTTCCTGAAGATCTTAATTAGCTAGTTTAGATTTGTTTGACAAAAGCAAGAGCTGACTGATGCAAAAGGGTAGATCTCCGTGTATTAAACACCCCTAGTGAAACAAACAATTTACCCGAAAAGATATTTCCAAGTTCTCTCCACCCCATATATCCATGCCACGGTCGTACTGACC